CAAACGAGGAAGTTAGAAGATTAAGGACTTAGTTTAAATCCCCGTTTATAATCCACTCTATAGTTAACCGATACGAGCGCTTTAACTAACTCCGAAGATATCTGTTAAAGTGTACATTGTCGTATTAAATGAAATGAATGGATCCCACAATTTAAGAACTCTCATCGCGGCGACGTAGATATGAGCAGCGAACGAAAAATTAACAGAGTTTAAAGTCGAAGCTGGCGGATTTCACTTTGCGCAAGTATTTCGGTTACGAAATTTAATAATATCGTACGTTAAAAGGACGCGACCCGTAAGAGGAACAGAGAGCGTGAGCGATAAGAAATGAGAGGAGAGATCCAGGAGAGCAGAGAGTTTGGAGCCGTGGTATAAACGACAGTCTAGGGAGCTGTTAGGTATTAAACTCCCTGCAAACTTCCGCAGTCCGTCGTGCTCGATATATATTTAAAATATCTTGGAAGTATCCATGAATCGTCTAGACTGAGCCGGCGACGTACAGAGGCTCCAGGGATTCGTAGGACGTCGGAAAGTGATATCATAACTCGCTACAACGGCACGAAATGTCCCGATTTGCAGAATCACATTTAACGCATATTTACCCTCCTATCGTTTCTTAAAAGATTTTAATCGATTTTCTTTCGTAAATATTATATATCAGCAATATAAATCTTTTTCTCCATTCATTCGTGTTTAACCCTTTGCGTATAAATCTAGATAGCTAATCCGATCGATTTTTATTCATGGAAGTTTCTCAAAATTTCAAAAATAATTACATTGTATTACATTTTTATCTTTTTTTCCAAAAGTAAAAACTTTCGTTTTAGAAACTTGAAAGTATGTTGGATTTTTAGACATTTTTAACCACTATAAAAATACATGAAGATCGGACGTGAATTATTTAGATTTATACCCAAGAAAAGGTGCTTGGGATAAGGTATTTTCATATTGCACTGTAAGTATTAATACATATATGTATAAATATAATATTCTTCGCGCGAGCGGAGAAACATTTTAATGGTCGCAATAAAATAAAACATTTTTATGGATCACGATGAAAAATTTGCAAAGAATCGTTTTA